AAAAAAAATTGTATTACAGTTTAAATTCTTCAAAGCTTCCTTGAATGGCCAGTGAGTGGAAGGTGACAGAAGTAAAAAGTAATTTGCCAATCAATTTGAATTCTTTTCCAAAGTTCTCCTGACCGCCTCTTGTGTAAACAGATTTTACACACCACTTATCTAGGTAACAACATTACTGATATAATAATAATAATAATAAAAATAACTAGAGAAGAAAGAAATTCTACTTAGTTTCCAGTTTCCCCTCCCGTTCACTTCGGTTATAGTGACCAGATAAGGAGTTTGCAATGGGAGGTATCCATCTTCACTGTGAATTTCCAAGGAAATTGGATAGTTTGTGACTGGAAACTTAAAACGAGGAACCTGAAATACAAATTCCAAGTATGAATATACATTTGGAAATTTCAATCCTAACTTCATTTCCTGGTCAAGCATGAATATATATATTCCCAAGAGTTTGGGCATTCTAGTGAAATGTGCTTAGGACTTCTGCCTGCATGAAAATAAATCTGTCTTTCAGCAGAATCAATATGAACTCCCAATGTGATAAACAAACATTGTGGAGCAACACTCATCACTTTCTATAGGTTTTTTTAAACAGGAATTTACTATAATGTTATTCAAACGTTTTTGGTTAACCCACATATCATAAAGCACTGCACAACTTTATACCCTTTGCTTATCTCATTTATAACCCTCCTACCATAAGTCATGATCTTTCAGCTACACTCTTTAAATTCAAGTTCTAGAAGCAGTGTAAAAATCTAGTTTCATCACATATTAAGGATGAGTTTTTGGCAAGTTACCTGGATTTTCTATGTTTCAAATTAAATGTGTAAAACATGGAGAAGTCTTACAACAGAGTTTTGCAAATAGACACACTCCAGAAATACTATTGCTGTTCAGCAAGGAGGGAGTTGTAGCAGTATATAACAACAATGCTTATAATTCAGTGAATGTCTACTCTGTGCCTGACATTATGTGTGTATAGAAAATATATATATATATCAATTTATATGTAAGTATACAAAAGTATATAAATAAATAACTAAAATAATATAGTGACATATATATAGTCTCACAAGGTCTTTGAAACGTATCTACTTGAAAGTTATACCAAGAACACACTTGTCTCAGCTAACACAGACAGCAAAGTCAACCTGATATAACTGAATGTTTTGAGACTAACAAAATGAAATATTTGACAGAACTCAGTGTTAACCAACATACTATAATGTATTCTATTTTATCATGACTGCCAGATTGGACTCCAGATTCTAGATCCTTGAATCCTGGAGTCTGATGCATGTTAAATACTTAATAATTGTTTTAATAAATCCGAATTCACCACAATCTAGTATATTATTTTCTGGGTTCCAACTTGTTTTTATATCCATGACATAAACCTCAGAAATATCTTTGAGGACTTGTCTCCAGAAGCAATGAAGACAAAGGCACATATAAACATCTGGGACGATATCAAACTAAAAAGCTTCTGTACAGCAAAAGAGAGAGTAAGCAAAATGGAATGAACCGCACTGCATAGGAGAAAATCTTTGCACACCTTACAACTGCAAAGGAACTGGTATCAAAGAGCTCATACAGCTCAACATAAAACAACCCAATCAAAAAATGGGCAAAAGAGATAAGACAGTTCTCCAAGTAAGAAATGCAAATGGCCAGTAGGGATTTGAAAACATGTTCAATATTACTTAGCATTAGGGAAATGAAAATAAAAACCACAATGAGATAACACTTCACCCTTGTGAGAATGGCCCATATTAAAAAAGCTTGAAACAACAAGTGCTGGTGAAGAATGTGGTGGAAAAGGACCCTCCGACACTCTGGTGGGAATGTAAACTGGCCCAGCCTTGTGTAGGTTCTCAAAAGACTAAAAATAGATCTGCCATATAACCAAGACTTTCCACTTCTAGGAATATATCCAAAGGACACAAAAACATTAGTTCAAGAGGAAACTGCACTATGTTTACTGCAGCACTATTTACAATAGCCAAGATATGGAAACAACCTAAATATCCCCAAAGAGAAGATTAAGAAGATGTAAGAGATACACATACACACGGGAATACTATTCAGCAATCAAAAGGATAAATTCATGCCCTTTGTGTCAACATGGATGGAGCTGAGATGGGTTGTGCTAAGCAAAATAAGTCATAAGGAAAACATAAATATGGATGGTTTCACTTAAATGTGGAATATAGAGAAACTGGAAAAAAATGTCAGGAAAAAAACCAAAACTTGCAAGCTGACTATAGATATAGGTATGTAGCAGGGGAGTGGAGGGAAATAGGGTCAAGCAGAGGAGGGACGAACACAAGGACTGTGGTGATGGATCACAGGTGCTATGGTGGGGGGAGCACCGCCAGGCCTCACACCTGAGAGGAGAAGTCAAACACTCTCTAAAAATAAACAATGATGTAAGAAAATAGTGTATATTAAAAAAACTGCTTTCATAGGGTGTGTAAGCATGTGTGCATCTGAGTGTGTGTTCGTAAGAGTCCTGCGAAATGGACAGGGCAGTGAAGGTATTATTTTATTTTAAAGCAGAAGTTAGGTAATCTAAGGACACTTAAACCCAGATCTGTTTAGCTTGATGTCATAATATTATTTTCTTGTCATGTTTAACCAAAATGCACATTGCGAGATCTTAATACAAAAATACTTTGACTTTAGGCAATTAAATAAGAGTTGTCTTACCTTTTCTCTACAGTCTGAGAAAGCAACAGCATATGAAAACTTCTGATCATTTGTGCAATTACACGCCTTGCGACTGGACTTGTTAGCACACTGCTTGTATTTACCTGATTTCTGCAAATTAAATTCATATAGGTTGACTTGCTTTTTTGGGGGGAGGGGGTCAGAATTTCTGCAAACTGAGTAAATGCTCAATAAATACTTGTTTCCTGAATGACTAAAATCCCTGAGAGGTTAACAGGGAAACTAATAATAAAGATAGAGGAAAAATACAGTAGTTCTGAAATTTGTGTCCTTGCTTGTTCCTTGGCCGCCAAGGACTCCTCAGTTGCTGGGCAGTTTACCTCAGGCTACTAGGTGGTTAATGTGCTGGAGACTAGAAAGCTTGGGTTGCTCTGAATGTTGCTTCTTTGACCCACCAGCAGGCTGCTCTTGGTCCCTCCCATGCAGGCCTGAACACAGAAGCCTGGGGAAGCTGACTAGATAGGATGGTCACCAGGCAACACTCTCCATGTGTGTTAGGCCTGGCTGTCCTCATGGCACTCATCGGCTACTCAAAATCGCCACTTTGTCATTCACTTGCTACCCAGTCACTCTCACTAGAGTGTGGTTTATTTTATTTGACCTTTTTCAAAGAACTGACTTTTGAATTTGATCACCAAATTCTCTCTTTGTTTTGTTTTTTTTCTTTTATGTTCCTAAGTTCTGCTGCCACCTGTGACCTTTTCCACTTATGGGAGAGGTGTCTCTGATTCGATTTGTTTTCTCTCTCTTTTTCTTAAGATTGACTTATTTGTGCATATAAGAACTGGGGTACAGGCCAGAGGTGCGGGAGGTGAGACATAGTGGGGAGCAGAACAGGCAGATGGTCTGAAATACACTGCTGAGGGGAGCAGCGGGCAGGACAAGAGAGGTCTTCCATGCCATGTGGGTCAGCTGCCTGGCCGGGCTATGAAGCTGTGGGTAGCTTCATAGTGTGTGTCTTAATCCCTTGCACCACCAGGCTGGCCCCAAATGTTTATGTTTTAAAACACAAATAGGCAACAAGTCACTTCTTTGCTTAAACTCCTTGGGTGGCTTTGATCTCTCTTAGGCCAAAATGAAAAATCCTCTCCGGGGCCTACAACAGCCCTGCTGCCTTCGGGCCGCCTTTCTCAGTCTGATTTAGCGCCTCTCTCCCTCTGTCTTACTGAGCTGCTCCTGCCCTGAGTCCTTCCGAATCACTGAGCCCTTGCCCACTGGGCCCTTTGTGCCTGGTATTCCCGAATACTCCAGTTCTTTCTTCCTCTCCTTCCTCCCCTGTCCCATGGCTTGTTTGTATCCAGCCCTAGCACTTGTCTGGCTCAGGCCCTAGGATATTAAAGGATTAACTATGGAGACATGTTTAATGCCGGTCTTGGGACTGTGCCTTATAGTTTCTGAGTCAGAAACTATGAGGTGAGATTGAGAAAGTAGCATTGTAGAACCATTTCCAGATGATTCTGGCTTAGATTAATTGTGTCATACTGACATTATTCAATTTTACACAACTCCTTGTTTAATGCCTCTTCTCCTGGCAGGGGCTTAAATGGGCCTATGTTGAAGCAAAACTTTCCTTTTAAACACCGTTCTTTTCACAAGGCTGCAGATATGAGGTAGGTGTCTGGGTCCCTTTCATTAAGCTTTTTCACCCCACCAATCCCTTTGAAATCCAAATGGGAGACAGGGAGAAGTCAGTGGGGCTGGGAGTGGGGGTGAGGTCCATCTAGATGTCTTGGTTTCAAAAGTGTATTCAGGAGTGTGAGTAAGAAGAGGAGACACTGAAGAAATAACTGATGATCGGGGTAATACTGATAGTGATTGATGATGATATTGACAAGCTGACTTGGCAGGGCCGAAGGACCACTGTGCTGATTGAAACTTCTCATTTCACTCCTGCAACCAGGTCCATCTGTAACTTTACGGAATGATTTCTTGAATTCAAATGAATATTGTGTATCAGTAGAAAATTCCATACCTTTGACTTGTGAAATAGATTTCTTGGTATGGGTTTGCTAGGATCCGCATGATAAAAATTATCAGTCAGTGGAATAGCAATTCCCATATTTGATGGAGGCCTGTAGTTTACCTGCAAGGGGTCAGGCAAGAAAAATATGTCACTTACTGTCATCTACTAGTAAATGAGCAGTTATTTATTTAAATGTTTTGATTTTCAGGAAAAGCATTCAAAGCAAATATTTCATTTTTAGCTCCAGGTATTAAGGTAAATTTCTATTCTCCTCATATCCCTCTTTGTTTTTTAAAATTTCAACAACCTCAAACTATGGCTATATAGCTGAAAATTTGTGAATAAATGAAAAAAATTTTCAGCTCTTAAAACAGTAGCCATAAAGTCAGTGCAATAAAGCTTCAATATCATATACAGAGTTTTAATGATGTAGTTAGTAAATAATTCTTCAAGTTTGGTTATCTGACTTTTAGTCACAAAAAAAATAAGTAATAAATTAGTTAAGAAAGACTAATAATTTTTATATTAAAAAGTCATAAATTCTGACAAGGTAACAATTAAAATGTTTCTGACACTGAGACCAGTAAGATGTGTCAACATGGTAAACAGATGGGCGAACAGCCATATAACAATGTAAAAGCACAAGATTGTGCCACCATTATAGAACATGAATGATACTAAAAAAGATAAGAATAAGTTACCGAGAAGAATCATTATTTTAGAAAGTGTTTACATTTTAGAAATAATCATCATATCCTCAAAATGACTTAAGATTAAAAAATACCTGGAGTGTTTTGAGAATCTTAAAAAAGAAATGCTAAGATTGAATGGCCAACCAGTCTTGAAAAGTAAAAATACAATCACTGTTGACCTCAAAAAAATCTGTTTAGGGCCCTCTGTAGTGGCACAAGGGATTAAGACCCAGCACATGGAGCTATCTGTAGCCACTGTGGCACAAGTTTGATCCCTGGCCAGAGAGCTGACCCACATGGCGCAGCGGGCCTCTCTTGTCTCACCCGCTGCTCCCCTCAGCAGTGTATTTCAGTCCATCTGCCTGTCCTGTTCCCCACTCTGTCTCTGGTGAGTCCTCTCACTCCCCCGCACCTCTGGCACAGACTTCAGTTCCTTTATACATAAAATAATAAATCTTGTAAAAAATGTGCTTAAAATTTTTACCGGCAGCGTTTTGATCAGATTAAAACCCTGACTGTCTTTGTGAATGCCACTAGTCCAGTCTTCCAAGGGGATAAACTTAAAAGGGATGTGATGCATAAATTTGAGGTAACTACAGCTGCTTTTCAGTGTTGGCACAATTGTTGTAACAAAGCACTCTGTCGATGCTCCCCAGACAATCAATGCCAGTGAAGTCGAACCCTGGAAATACCAAAAAAAAAAAAAAAAAAAAAAAAAGGAAAGGTAGAATCGCTGTTATAGACTGACATATGCTCCCTCAAAGTTCAGGGTTGAGGTCTTCACCCCTAGTATCTCAGAGTGTGACTGCACTTGGAAATCAGATGTGTAAAGAGGTAATTAAGTCAAAATCAGATCAGAATTTGTGTGCTAATCCAGTCCTCGGCACAAGAGGCCGCAGATCTTGTTGGCCTCCCCTTCCTGTTAACGAGCCCCCATAGCAGAATGCAGCCAGTCACCAGGAGAAACAGACCGTCCACCCCCAGAGGTTTCCTGCTTTCAGGCAAGGGCTCCAGAACCAGTCGAAACCTGATGGCCACAGGGACACAGACGGCAGAACTGACCTAGCCGTGACCTGGGGTTCACTCAACAGCCAAGAACATACACCCTTGGGTAGAGACCAATGTGCTTATGAGACATGACTATGAAGACTCATGTGGCCCTCTGCACATGCCCCAGGGTAGCCCAGCCCAAAACACATTCTGATGCTGCTCCCGGCTACCCTGCTCTGGTAGTCAACCCATAAAACCGGGACCCTTAGGGCTCTCAGGCCATGGTCTGGCCGCTCTTCTGCTTCTGTGTCATCCACAAGACCTGCTCTGCTCCTTCTTGAGAGCCGCTGGCTCTTTCAGAATGTGTGGGGGATAAATTGGAGAAAGTGAGACCAAGATCCTTCAGGGTCTGTGCAGCTGAGCCCCTCCCATGTGTGAGTCATTGCGTTAGACGCCCTGTTTAAAACACGGCATTGACTTCTGCAAACAACCTCTGAGGTAGGTGTGAGTACCGTCATCTCCACCTTACAGAAGAGCCAGCACAGTGACTTCCCCAGGTTCTCGTAGACAATGCCACAAGTCAGACTGAACTCATCACTCCTTTTCCAGAGCTCCCTCTTTGAACCTCTCCCTTCTGCTATACTGCCTTTTTAGTAATACCTCAAATGTGACAAGTGCTTAGTCATCCTTGATAGGGAGGGTGGTGTACAATTTGTCCTTCTTTTTCTTGGTTTATATTCTAAATTTTCAAAGATTAATATTTTTATTATTAAAGAAAATATTACTTGAAGTAAATCTTTGCTAGTTGCAGAAATGTCCACTACATAACTATCAGTATCATCAAAGGAGCCTTCTACTTTAAATGACAACAAATTTGGATTTCCAACGATGACTTTCAACAGAGGTATCTCAAGTATTCGAGTATCTATGGAAACAAGATCAACAATATTAGATCATGAAAATTTTAAACAATTGGATAATGATTGGCTAATCAGGGTTCTAGGACATCGACAGGACCTATTATGAAGGATATGTAATAGCTGCCAGTATTTAATGGTTCTTAGAAAAATTAAACTTCATAAATACCATCTGTCTTTTCTGAGAAAGACTGCTTCCACCCCTCAGTCCTCAGTGGCATCAAGGAGACTTGGACAGAGTTGGGTAACTTTGTAAAGAAACTGAAGCACACGTGTTTACGTGGGTGGTGGCTGCCGGTGCTTTGGTGGCGGGTGCTGAAGGGCAGAAGCCCATACTTCTACACTACAATGATGCAAACCAACATTACTTCAATTAAAAAAAAAGTTTAAGGTAATTAAAAAAATAGGCCTTCCCTGGTGGTGCAAAGTGTTAAAGCGCAGCACTGCAAGCTGGCCGCAGCTGCTCCGGTGGATGTGAGTTGGATCCCCAGCCCCGGAGAGGGGAACTGATCCACAGGGCGCAGCAGACCTCTCCTGACCTGCCCACTGCTCCCCTCAGCAGTGGATTTCAGCAGATCTGCCTGTTCTGTTCCCTGCTCTGTCTCTGGTGAGGCCTCTCACCGTCCCCACACCACTGGCCTGTATCTCAGTTCTGTATGCCTGAATAAATAAATCTTCAAAAAAAAATGCATACAATTGTTAATATAGAGCCTCACACATAGTAATTACTCAATAATTAGGAGCTAATACTATTAGTAGGATGTCAGCTACTAGGAAGATTAGGATAAAGGAATTATAAAAGAGCTTATTTCACATCCAAGAAAAGCAATACCATAGACTTGTGATTTATCCCCACCAAAATTAACTTACCTTTTGAGCTAGGTATGATCTTAACTTTTAAGGAAAGAGATTTTCCCAGATCAATGTACTTCAGGACATTGAGGGACAGTGTTTTATCAAGTTGTTGAAACCAATAATTACATGGTTTTGAATATATTTTCCATAATCGTCCATTCTTTTGCCCAAAGTTGTATATGAACCAGGAACCTTCTGGAAAAGTCATATTGTGGGGGGCTATTTCAGGCATGGTAGCAGTAGCTAAGGCATTGTTATCATCTAAAATACTTGTGATCAGGAAGCTGCTATAACCAGGAATCACCACAGTCTTCTCGATATCCAAATCTTGAAATACTGATATAATACCAGTTGCTAAAACAAGAATAAGTTGGTTTAAAATATAACAATGGTCCCCAAGCACACATGAACATAACTGATGAATATACTACTAGTTGTAGTTAAACCATGGTCTTAACTAAGAGATAGATTTCAGGCTATAATCAAAATTATTTTACAGAAAGTGTATTCAACTGTATCCGCACAAACCTATCCTATAAAAGGAGTGCTACAACAATTCTAAGCAGAAAAGCAAATCATGTAGGGCTCAGAAAGTGTGAAAAAGCTTATTTATTACGGACTGTTAAGAGCCTTAATAACCTGGAGTCTTCATTCTAATTCTGCAAGAGGAAGGTAATATAGCCGGGGTTTGCTTAGTGTCTAGAGCTCCTATCAGAAGGAGGTTAGCCAAGATTTGGTGAATTGATGAATCGCTGATTATTTAAGGAAAATGGTGGCGATTCAGAAGAAGAGGCTCGAGGGCAAGGCTCTAGGGAGCACCATCATATCAGGAATGTCAAAGAACAAAGACTTCACAGCGAATGACTGGAGAACATGTCCGTGAGGACAAGAAGGAAGGCAAAGGAAAGACTGGCTCAGGAAGACTCAGGCCTACTGGAGAAGTTTGCAGCCCTTATTTTATCAAATCATTTTTGTTACCCTGCTCCCCACACTCTCTCCTGACTGTTCAAATTTATGACGATGGTCCAGCAGTCTTTCCTGAACGCCGGACCTGTCTTTCTCTATATCCTCTTAATTGCTCCATTTTTATAATAACAGGTATCCTGCATTTAACATGAGCTCTCACTTGATTATTGCAACAGCCTCTTAAATAACTTTCTGTCTGCTTTTTTTCCCTTTCTCCCTAAGTGCCCAGACTATTCTCAACATAGCAAAATGGTTGTTTTAGAAAAAAGAGGTCTATCATTTTCTTTTCTTTCATTGGATTTTCTTTTCAAAATTCCCAGTGTTTACTGCCAGTAAACTCCCAGTTTTTCCAATAAAAGTTTTGGAATGTGTCATATAACCCTTTGAAGTAGAAATATCCTATATAACAATGGTTCGAAACTAACTTATTATGTAGGGTAGAATTTGCATGGACTTCCTACTTCCTCTCACTTGAGAGCACTATTTAAGACAAAATAACATACTAGGGAAGAAAAAGGTAGGCCCTGCTACTGGTGAAATAGCACAAAGTTAGGACTAGTTTTTACCATATTACAAATATGGTAAATAGTATAAATAAAACATTCCTCCAGGAATCTATGTTCACATAGAGGTATGTAGATTACCAACTGAACTAAATTTTGAAACCCAGTAATCTGTAAGTGAGCATGAAAAGCCTTCCCCAAAGGTAACTTTTTGTTTTTTCTACCCACGAGTGTCATATGGGATCACCACACTTACGTGGTGACTGAAGAGTGAGCTTATAGGCAGCCCCGGCACTCTGGATGAGAAGGGAACTAAGCAAGCAAGTGCTCTCAATGGTTTCTTCCAGTCCAAAAGGTTCTATAATTTCTGTGATAGCGGAGGACAAAAACCCTTCAGGAGTGTCATACTGCAGTATTTCTTTTATGTAAGCTTTTCCGTTTTTTCTAAAAAAAAAAAAGAAGCCAACAAACAGTAAGCAATTTGGACAAAAAAGTGGCTTAAATGAGGAAATTATGAATATATATTATTTACAAATAAAATGTACTACAATGGTGAACAGATGAACATTTAATTGACATTTGTTCAATTTTATTAATAATCGAGGAAATCTCCATTACAAGAAGGGGATACAATTTTTCATCAATCAAATTAACAATGAGTTTGAAGTGACAGCTTTCCAAAGCAGCAAGGACTGAGATAAGCTTGTACCCACCACCAGTGGGACTGTACTTGGGCGCCAGCCTCCTGGCAAGCCAAAGACATTATGCACAAGGAACCCTGCCGTTCGCTCCACTTTGGTTCTGCCAGTCTGTGGATAGGCTTCTCGCCTAAAGATAAAAGTCCAAACACTGGGGGCAGAAACGCTTCCCGCACAAAAACGTTTATCACAGCATCATGACAAAAGTTAGAATTAAGAAATTTCGGCAATAGTACAGTTAAGAAAATTCCACTACTTGATCTTACCTACACAGAATGTAACTATGTTTATAATAGTATTTAAAAGTTTTTAACTACATAAGGAAAGTGGTCATAGTACAGAATGTCTAAGGGAGAGAATCACGGTGGAAAATGTTATGCCTATTATGCATATTAAAGAAGTAATTACTAATTCGTTAAAGTATTAGCATAAATCATGATTTCAAGTGTTTTCTTTATGTTTTTTTTTTTTTTTTTAAAGATTTATTTATTCATACAGAACTGGGGTACAGGCCAGAAATGCGGAGGGTGAGAGGATTCACCAGAGACAGAGTGGGGAGCAGAACAGGCAGATCAATGAAGTACACTGCTGAGAGGAGCAGCGGGAGTGTCAGGAGAGGTCTGCCGCGTCATGTGGTCACCTCCGGGGCAGGTGGGGATCGAACTCATGCGGAAGTGGCTTTGGCTTCTCAATGCTGTGCTTTAACCCACTGCGCCACCAGGGAGGGCACTGTTTATCTATGTTTTAAGACATTTCTATACCGAACACATTATTTTATAATCAAGAAGGCAACCTACCTTTAAAACACTAACCTTAGATACCCATGTGCAAAAAAAGAAATCTTGACACAGACCTGAACACTTTGTAACAATTAACTCAAAATGGATCATAGACTTAAATATAAAACGCAACATTCTAAAACTCCTAAAAAGTGATGTAGGAGGAAATCTAGATAAGCCTGGGTGTGATGATGATGTTTTTTAAAAAAAATTAATTTATTTCTGCATAAAAGAACTGGGGTACAGGCCAGAGGTGTGGGAGGGTGAGAGGATTCACCCAAGCAGGGGAACAGAACAGACGGATTGAAGTACTCTGCTGAGGGGAACAGCTGGAGAGACAGGAGGGGTCTGCTGTGCCCAGTGGGTCAGCTCCCTGGCCCGGACTGAGCTCCTGATGCAGTGGCTGTGGACAGCTTCACAGTGCTGCGCTTTAATGCCTTGCGCCACCAGGGAGGGCTCGTGGTGACGACTTTTCTAAACCAAGGCAGAATCCCAGAAATAAAGCATCGATAAATCATACTTTATTAAAGCTAAAAACTTCTGCACTGTGGCCCACCCAGTAGCCCCTGCAGACCCGGTGGCATCCAGGGCTGGGACCTAGAAGTAACCCCCCACTGCATGCCTCCCCAAACTTCAGCAGGATTGACACAGAGGCTATCCATGTGACGCTGGACAGGCAGTGGTTGCAGAGAAGAAGCTGGGGGTTGTGACCTGGGCTGGGGAACACCAGTGGGCGTGCTGTTCTGGAGTGGGGGATGGAGGCTGGGAGAGGCAAACTCCCTTAAAAGTGAGGGAAGCCTGTGGAAGTGCTGGGGTGCTCCCCATAGGCTGCTCCCTGGTAAAGATAACAGCCAAGTGGGCATTCTGGCCTGAAGTCCTCATTCTTGTGCCCAGGACCTTACCTTGTGAGGAGCACTTAGAGCCTGGACGGCTAGGTCTCCCCTCCCCCTCCCCCAAAAGGAGCGAAATCAGGGTGCCACAGACACAAGCCAGCCCTGTCCCAACTCACCCACACCAGCAGCTCCCTATGGCCAGTGATGTCACTCATTCATGGAAAAACTCAGACACAAACCACTAATTCAAAGGGATGCACTCAGGCCTCTGTTCACTGCAGCACATTTACAAAAGTCAAGTTAAGGAAACCAGGGAAAGGTGACATGAATACGTGAAGCATCCTACTCAGCTATAAAAAAGATGAGCTTTGCTCTGTCAGCCGATCGTGCTTGTCAGATACAGGACTGACTGCCTGGGGTGAACACTGTGGAAAGACAGCCGATGGGGGACTCCAGAACATTCCGAACCCTCAGGATATCAAGCCCACATTTCTGCAGCTGATGTGATGGTGCAGCTCCAGCTGGCCCATGATTCTAAAATCAGGGCGAGGTACAAGGTGCCGCGGCATTTATAAATGTGTCTGGTTTGTTGTTCTTTTGAGGTGTCAAAAGAAGACCTATTCCAGGGGCCTCCCTGGTGGCACCAGGGGTCAGGCTCAGCACTATGACGCTACTGACAGCTACTGCAGAGAGTTCAGTCCCCGCCAGGGAGCTGACCCACGTGGTGTGGCAGACCTCTCCTGTCTTTCAGGACAGCAGTGCATTTCAGTAGACTTGCCTGTTCTGCTCCCCACTCTGTCTCGTCTCTGGTGAATTCGTTCACCCACACCACACCTCTGGCTTGTACACCAGCTGTTGTGTGCATAAATAAATAAATCTTTAAAAAAGAAGAAGACCTTTTCTCGCTGTTGAGTGACAATTATTCTAAAAAGTAAGTTCAAAATTTAGGCTCTAGAAACTAGTCGCGTAATTTAAATAAGTGGAAGGCAGATCAGTAACCTACTCAAACGTTACAATTTTCCCCAGATGAATGTGTTCAAATTTCTTGGTGTATATTTTGTCCTTTGGCTCATTCACTGGGACGTAAGCGTAGAAGATCATTTCACTGGAGGTGATGTACTGCGGGGCAAGAGCAGTCTCAAAGCCCATGTCAGGAGCCTGGGGTGGGAGGACAAGAGAAGAGAAGCAACTTGAACAATTTTCTGCTTCAGCGATGGCAAAGTGAAGAGAACAGGAGGGTTGCAGTTCACATCTGAGCCGCACTGCCCAGTATCAAAGGGTGAGGGGAGATGTGCTTCCTGTGCAGGAGCAGAAGTCCTGAGCAGTAAGATTCTGGAGAAGTCCTAGACTTTGGAGGAGCTGGAGGGCAGGGAGCTGGGGCCGTGCGTGTTGCTAGGTGCGTGCATGGCGGGGTCTGGAGGCGCAGGTTGTAGAAGCAGGTCCCCATTTGGAGGTTCAGTCAGGAAAGGGGCCGTACAGGGGACAGTGCCTCCCCTTGAAACCTGCAGCTTGGGGTCTCCTGCTGGTGACCGACCACCCCAGTCCTGACTTCGGGGGCACAGGCCTTTCTCACGCTTTCCCATCAACAAAGCTTTCTGACCTACAACTCTTATTTTCCAAACACTGTTCTCGGACCCTGACCGGCTCTGGGAAGCTCCCGGGGTCAGAAGAGAGCAGGGCCTGTGGCAGCCAGCTCCAGCACGGAAGCTGAGCCTGATGCTGAGGCCTGAGGGGGGTAGACGGCGCTGACCAGCTGGGCACAGACATCAGACGGTGCCTCCAAGGTCCATTCACTGTCACGCCTTCCCCCAGCCTCTTAAACTTGGGAACCTACTGAAAGGGGGAGAAAAAAGGAAATAGAGGCAGGAAGAGTAAATGTGGGATGAACAGATGGCTTTCGGACTCTTGAAAATTACTGAAATTCTGAAGTCCGTGCGTTTGAGTCACCTACCAGCCTGGGGGCAGAAGGACGTGTGTGTGTGCGTATCCAGTGACAGGATTTGGTGGCTGACAGCTTAGGCCCTGGGACCAGTTGCTCAGATACTTGCCTGATTCCCAGAGCTAACTAGTGGTGTGTGTGAGTTCAGGTAAATTACTCAGCTTCCTGTGCCTCCTTTTTTTCTTCAATTGGTAAAATGAGGCTAAATGGTTAGAAAGACTAAGTGCCCAGAGGAGCATCTGGTTCAGTGAGACTCAGGAGGCTGGGGCTTGTTTTTATCCAGAGGACGTGGGCATGGTCTGTGTTGGGAGAGGGAGGTGATAATCTTGAGGGTGAGTTCCTCAAAATTGTCCTGAATGTCACACCTGCCCCCCATTCCAGTTTTTTATTTTAACAACACTCACATAGAAGAGTGAAGGCATTTTCTGCGAATTTATGAAGCTGGCGAAAACCTGAGGTAATTGTTTGGCAGGTTGTGTCTGTGCAGTCTACACCACAGACTGGCACACACATGGGGCTCTCAAGGAAGGCCCCACCACACTCATGAGTAGCTGGGTGGGGGATTGCTAACACCACCCTCTGCAGTGTTGGGCTGGTGGTCTGGAATGATCTGTTAAGAATAGGCTCATCTTTTGTTCTATTTCCACCAGGCTAAAGAACAGGTTTTGTTAACTCCAGCCAAAGCAATCTGCCTGATACTCCGTCGGGCCTTGTGCCTGACTATGAGTGCCTTTGGCACCTCTAGCTTGACGGTGGTACATTGCACATTGAAAATACTAGCAACATGCGATGTGGTATCATCTGTGACGAGAATAAACTCTTCCTACGTTGGCAGTAAAACCAAGGGGGCAGACTTAAAACAAGGGTGGGGCGAGCACAGGGAGCTCAGGTGATGGTGCACCAGGGTGTTGGGGGTGGGAATTCTATGGGGTCCACACCTGATGTAAAATATATACCAATAAAGAAATTAAATATGAAAAAAAAAAAAACACCTAAGGGGGCTGAGTAAAGAAAAAAAAATTCAAACTTTCCCAAGGCTTTCCCTTGTGCCTCTTGGGAGTCAGAGAATCAAGCCCACAGAGAACTGGACTGGGAGCAGTGGCCAGCTTAGCATTTCAGGCGGCGTTTTGTTTGAAGGTGTTTGTGGGGATGTATCTAGGGTGGTGCGAAATTTGCATAACCGGGTATGGGACTTGAAGAAGGCCTCGGAGATGTCTCTTCTACAGGGAACTTTTTCCTTTAGTTAAAAAGTATAAAGTGCAGAAAAAGGAGCCGGTGCCAAGCCTGCTTTCCCCTTGCCCATTTACTCTGCCTATGGAGTGTGGCCTCGACTCTGAAGACAGGGCTGTTTCGATGCATTAGGTCACTGACCGGTCCAAAAATACTTTTAGTGTTTCCAAAGGCTGCAGCTTCAAAGTGATCTGGAGTCAGTTTATGTAGAAATCCCATGTGGTCATAGTATAACGTGAAAATTTTTTCAGAAACAGATCCAAATGCACTGTATCTTTTTATTCCTGATAGGAAAGAAACAGAAGTTTCTTGTTACTGACACCACATAACCGGCGAGCTCTTAATTCTCTACTGTGTGGAGATGCCCTGTTTGAAGTGAGGGTGAGGTGGGGCTTGAGGAGCCCAGCAACACGCACGTTAGTCTTCGTTAGGTCCCTGTGGCTTAAAAAAGATGAAAAATGTTCCAGGCTCACTATGTGATGGCACATGGGTGATTTGTTGATGGGAAACCCAAGGGGATTGCAACTGAGATGGGAAAATGTACAAAAATCTGTAAAAATAAACTATTATAAAAAAATTTGGCTTATACCAGGCTTGGGCCCTCCCTAGTGGTGCAACCAGTTAAAGTGCAGCACTGCAAGTGAATTGCAGCCGCTTCAGTGCCAATTCGATTTCCGCCCAGGAAGTGACCCACATGGCACTGCAGACCTCTCCTGGCCCACCCGCTGCTCCCCTCAGCAGCGTACTTCATCAGTCGGCCTGTTCTGCTCCCCACTCTGTCTCTGGTGAATCCTCTCACTGCACCTCTGGCCTGTACCCCAGGTCTGTATGCATAAATACATAAATCTTTAAAAAATGTTCCGGGCTCCAGGTCATTACTGCCCTGTTTGCTCAAGTAGGCAAAGGGCAGCGTGAGGGCTGCTTAATCAAGAGATCCGGGAAAAGAGGTCAGGCTCTCCTGACCTGGGGGTGGTTTTTCTTCCTACTCCCAACACATCAGTGGCCTGAGTATGTGGAGAGTAGTGAGAACAGCAGCCCTCAGAAAGGCAAGGGGAGTCATCGGTAGAGACCAGTGGGTCATCAGCACTAGGTTTAATAGGTGGATCCAGCTTGTGCCTTCTGGGACTCTCGGGCCTTGGAGCACAGTGCTGGGGGCACTGGCAGGGATGGGAAGTGCAGCCGTGCCACTTAACCCAACAGACCAGAGAGTGCCAGGCCCTGCCCTGAAGAGAGTCAGGTGAAAGCTCAGGTCTCAGGATGAAAAAGGACGATTCCCACACACACCAGTGAGCCCTCCTGTCCTTCCCCGGTCGCCCTTAAGCATGAGAGTGCTCCACAATCTTACGTGCCTCACCAGTCCTCGACATCTTGTCCACCTGCAGGATTGTCAACCCACTGTTGTGTGGATGGACCCCAAGTTTAGATTTATTTTCCTTTCATGTCAGGCTGATGTCTATATAATTGCCTGGTAGCTACAGGTCCTGTCAGTCCTGCCGCTCAGACTGAACTCCTGAGCTCACACAAACCCCTCCAGCCTCAGCCGTCCTCATCTCTGTCAAGGGCCACAGGGCAACTGCACTCTTACTGAGCCTCTGTTCAAAACTTCCTCACATATCCTATATCCAATCCATAGCAAATAATATTAACATCAGCTGCAAAATGTCTCTACACTCCATTTCTCATTACTTCCACCACTGTACAAGGGAATAGGAGACATGTGTGGCAGATTGTTATGAGAAGAAATCCTGAAATATTCTGGCTTGCTGCCTGTGATCTGGAGAACTGGAGGCTTGAGAACCAGGGTTGCTGATGGCTTAGCTTGCAGTCAGAGGCCAAAGGCCTGAGACCTGGAAGGCCACGCTGGTCTAAGTTCTAGAGGGGACAATGTCCAAACCAGGCAGGCGGGCAGGAAGTCAAAGTGGTGAGAATGTCTGTTTCCTCCACTCTTTATTTTACTCGGGTTCTCATGGGCCTGGATGATGACTGTCTTCGCTGGGGAGGTCAATCAACTGTATGGAATCCTCTGATTGAAATACTGACCTCATCTAGAAATAATCACACACACCCATTCAGAAATAAAATATAAGCTGGGCATGCCTTAGCTCTGTCAAGTTGACATAAAATCAACTACTACTTTAACTAATTGCTAATGATTAACATGCCATAAACTCCAGGTACATTATTAACGCTTGGAAATTGAGGTTTTATCGGTGGTGTGTCTTACAGTCACTGTCCACCAGGGGGCACTGGTGCCATAGTGGTTAACTGGCAAGCACTGTCTCAGATCTGAGATGTCATCTCTTTGGTGGAGTTTCCCGAATCATTGGTGGAGTTTCCCGAATACATGCTCAGTTTTATCGCTGCTTAAAATGCCTCCAAAAACATGATATTATAACTTGAAGCAAAGCTATTGTGGGTGCAGCATGAGAGGAAAACAAAGCCGTGGGGGCATTCATTTCTCCATTAAGCAAATGTCACTAGGAGAATTGCCACAATTCCGTATTTTCTTATAAAACAGATTCCAACTATTTTGTAAAACCTAAGAAAAGAGAAAACTCACAAATGAATGAAAATGCATTATATTTTAGTACTTTTGCTGGCGAGTATCAAGGACACAATATTGAAGTCCAAGTAATCAAGAGTTTTGAAGTCATATCAGAAACGTCGGAGGCTTGTTTAAAATCATCTCAGAGACTCACAAGATCAGAAGAAATTTGAAGCTAGACAGTCAAGAATGTTTAATAAAATTTTCAAGAATGCTGACAATGTTAAAAACAAACAAACAAAAAGCAGCCTCACTCTTGACTTGGAGACAGTATTTTCCCTAATCTGGTTGGATCTAATCAGTTGTCACCAACTTTACTCTAGTCTCCAAACTCACCCTAATACATGTGAAAGAGCTACTTGAGCACTGTTGGGAGAGACTGTATTTCTGAAGGTAGACCTCCCTTGCTACACCAAGTTACTGAAGTATGGTTTTATTTTTTGTACAATTAGTAGCTTCATTATTTGAGAAGATGAGCCAAAAAATGTATACGAAAATGATAAGACTCTGAAGAAAACATACAGGTAAATCTTTACCATCTTGGATTAGACAATGGTTTCTCAGAAGTGACACCAAACTTAAAGAAAAAATATTTTTTTATCTATTTCACCAAAATTAGAAATATTTGTGCTTCAAGACAAGCACCATGAAGAAAGCAAAAGTGTTGTATTTATGTCAAATTGTGGTGAAGCTCAGCTCTTAGCACTGTAGCAGCTACCTAGCTACTCCCAGCCCCAGCCACGGGATAGGGAGTGTGTACATGTCCCTGGAGCAGATGCCTATGGGACATGGGGTGGGCAAAAAGAACCCCATCCTCCAAATATTGGGGGCCTGTGCTTTGATTGCTGGTTGATGCTTCTCATCACAGAGGTGCAGACAAAGAGAAGGTTGATCATAATTGTTGTACCCACACCTCCTTTTCTTGTAAGTAACTAACCCTCTTTGTCTGAAGCAACTTTTTTTTTTTAAAGAAAGATTTATTTATTTATGCTTACAGAACTGGGGTACAGGCCAGAAATGTGGTGGGTGAGAGGATTCACCAGAGACAGAGTGAGGAGCAGGACGGCAGATTGACTGAAATACACTGCTGAGGGGAGCAGCAGATGGGTCAGGAGCGGTCTGCCGCGCCATATGGATCAGCAACCTGGCCGGGGATTGAACTCATGCTGCAGGGGCTTCCAGGAGTTTCATAATGGGGTGCTTTAGCTGGTTGCGCCACCAGGGAGAGCCCCTGAAGCAACTTTTAGGGAATTTAAAAGGTCTAGGCCCTTCCACCTATGCATTCATATTTCTTTTCTCCTTTTGGGAGACAGACATTAAAGGATCTTTGAACCATTATCACAAAGACAAGAGATAAGAAATGTCATAAGGCTGTAGAGAAAAGGGAATCCTTCCGCTCTGCTGGTAGGAATGTAAACTACTGCAGCCAAATGTAGAGATTCCTCAAAGAATTGAAAATAGAATCACCATCTGATCAGCACTATGCTTCTGGATAGATATCTAAAGGTAATTATAAGTGGGCTATTTAAAAAAGCCAGCTGCATGCCCATGTTCACTGGGGCATTATTCATCATAGCCAAGACGGGAACAAGTCTCTCTGTGTGTTATTCATCCATTAAAAAAAAAAAAAGAAGGAAACTGCCATTTATAGCAAAAACATGGATGAATCTTGAGGACAATATGTTAACTTAATTAAGTCAGGTAGAGAAGACAAATACTTCACGACCTTGCTTATATGTGGAACCTATTTTTCAAAGTCAAACTGAAATATGTCACAACATGGCTGCATCTTGAGGCCATTCTGCTAAGTGAAGTAACCCAGCGTCGAAAGGACAGCTACTGTGACCCCCTTGCAGGACGTGCACAGAGTCTTCACTCTCAGAGACAGAAAACCGGATAGTGGGTGCCTGGGTGCCAGAGCAAGGAGCAGGGCTGAGGCTCTATTGCTCGCAAGGTGCAGAGCTTCAGTTTTACAAAATAAGATTTGGTGGTGGTGATGGTGGCAGAATACTTTGGATGTACCTGCTATCACCCAACTTCACCATCAAAATAGCTAAAATGGTAACTTTATATGTATTTTCACCAGAATAGGTTTTTAAAAGCCATAATCCCTAGTAGGTTTGAGACGTAGGATTAGTTGAGGATTCAGATTAATTGATTAATACAGCAGATTTCCCCCCCCCCCCCCCCCCCGATCTAATCCCTGGCTCACATGTAATATTTGTACCAATAAAAGTAAATTTCCTACCTGCTTTCGTGTGGTAAATCTTTCCATGCTGGGAAACAAAAGTAATATCTGAAGTATAAAAGCTATGATAAGTGTTTATTATGATATCATCGTGAAAGTCAGCTAACAATTCAAAAGTGTTGCCGCCATCAGTGGAAAGCCAGGCCTGAGGAGATAAAAAGGTAACACCACATTGGAGAAGCTGTCCTGAAACAGAGCTACCTGTCAGCCTCGCTGTTTTCCTGCATAAATCATGCATGCAGTGCGGGCTTTCCTAGGCCTCACGTGTGTGCATGCACACGCTGCTTACCTCGACCTACTTGGTCTACTCTTCACTTTCTCGCTCGTTTGTATGACAGTGTGGACAGGAGAGCCTCAGGAGAATACAAGTGTGTGTGATGAATGTATAAAAGAACAAAGTGGTTCCCATCATCTCCCAAATAGGGTCCCTTGTTCATAAAAAAGGGTGAGGTTCTGATATATCTGGACGTGGGAGAAAAGCTGATCCCACTGATCCGAGAGTTCATGCTCGAGGCATCTGGGAACTGCATAGGCACACACGTTTCCCGTGAAAGCGCCCCTTGCCGTTTACAAGAATGTGTCTGGATCTTGTGTAGCCTCAGATCCAGCCTCCCACCACAGCGCCTTGTTTGTTTCCTCAGCTTTCAGTAAGTGGTTTGAAGATTCGTCAGATCCTGTATTGGATTGGATGGCTACTTCTGGATACGTTTTTCCATAGCCTAAGTCTTCTTTTTTTTTTTTTAGCAGTTTTGAATATCTTTTACTATGCTAAATACTAAGTGTCTTTTATGCTACAAATATTTTTAAATTACATTTCCTGTTTGATATTTATGTTTACAAATACAGTTGATATTTGTATATTAAACATATATTCAGCTACATTGTTAAAAGTTACAATTCTAATAATTTGTAGGTGGTTTTGAATTTTCTGTATAGACAATATCTGTAAATTTTATTTGGCTTTCTTTCTAACCATATACATTTTATTCCGTTGTTTTTTCTTATTTTACTGCGGTGACTAGAACTTATCAGAATGTTTAATTAATAATGTTAATAAATATAAATAGTAGGACTTATTGTCATGTTTTTGATTTTTTTTATTTTACAAAAGTTTATTTTTACATCATTTTGTACATTTTTTCCACCTCATTTGTAGCCTAAGTCTTCTTTTAATGAGGATTCCTGAAGTTTCTATTTCTTTTTATAAAGTGTTTAAGCAGTTATACCTGAAAATAGATGTGACTTTGAATCTTTTGATTCTAATGTGTCTCAGTGTTGGTGTCTGGATTTTCCCTAAATGGAATTTTTTTAGCTTTTTAAATTCACATGTCTATTTCTTCAGATTTGGAGAGTTTGGGCCATTATTTCTTTCAAGAAGCTCTCTGTCTCTTTCTCTCTTCTTTTAGATCCACCCCCTGCATTATATGCTACATATGTAAAGCTCCTTGTGATAATATCACATAAGACTCTCTTTACTTGTTTTTGTGCATTTTCCTTTTTGCTCCTCTGATTCAACAACAAATAACCTCTCTTTATGTTTGCTGACTTTCCTCAAGTCAGCTCCTCAGCTTGTGGTGAGTTTCTCAGTTCAGTTACATTTTTCAGCTCCAGAATTTTCTTTTTGTTGATCTTCTCAATTTATTCATGCATTATTTTCCTGAAGTCTTTCAGTTGCCTGTGTTCTCCTCTGGCTCACTGCATTGTCATTACAACTTTTTGCCAGGCAGCTCAAAGATCTGCATTTCTTTAGGGCCATGTTCTGGATTTTATTTTGTTTCTTTATAGGGAGCATGTTTCCCTGTTTCTTTGTTTGCCTTGATTTAACAACCTCTCCCCTGGTCCATGGACTGGCTCGCGTAGATCTTGACTGACCCGGCCTGAGAGAGGCTGGAGGATGTCTGAAGTCTTTCGAGGATGTGTGTTCTTGGCTTGCGCTATGCTCTCTCAGTTATCTCACAGTCCTCAGCAGCTCATCTCTTCTTCCTTTCAGAAACTATTAAGCACTTGCCGCCCTGGCAGCTGTCTGCAGTTCTAACCTACTACAGCGATCTATTTTCAGCAATTTCCAAACAAAGCTTCCAGTTCCGTCAAACAGACTCCAGCCCTGGTCTGGCCAGAATGCGGCTGCACGACCTCTCCGGACAACTAATGCACAGAGCCTGTATCTTCCTACCTATGTAGAAATACTACTTTTGAAGTCTCCCCCAACCCCCCGTATTGATTTCTCTGTCAAGAAATTCTCATCAGCACATAATTCTTCCTATCTGGAAAGAAAAAAAAAAAACTTTTCCTGACTGCCCTCATCTGTCAGTGCCCTGCTTCATTGCTCCACTTTTCAGCAAAACTTTCCAAGAGATAGTGTCTCGAACCCCTCCTCTCACTCTCTCTGGACCAACTTTCCATCTCCCTGCTCATGGGAGCCACTCTGCTCTTTTCTTGATGGATAATGCTGGCAAGGGGCTGACACACACCTGTGCCTGGGCGGGAACCTGTGCCGGACTCACCTGATTGCCATAAACATACAGAAAATGACTTCGTGGATGGAATACCATTCCAGTAGGGGAAGTGAAGGATGAAGGAAATGAGAAGGATGGAAATTTCTTTCTTAAAGTTGGTTTGTTAGCTCTCAGAAGGTTCACAGAGACCTTGGTACGTTTCTAAGAATAGATCAACAAAACATGAGCAAGTTATAAGAACTTTTTCGTTAATATTACTAGCCAAGGTTATCATTTTGTATTCCCTGTTAAAGTTTGACCAAGAGAGGGGTATACTCGGCAACACAGCGCAAAGTGAAAGATGAGGGATCACCAATATCTCTTCACTCTGCCTTCCTCCCCCACCCCCCACCCCAGATACACACAACCGCATCGTATTTATGTTTAAAATGACATTTAGGTGATTAACTAACTTGTCCAAGTTTCTATAAGAATGGGCAAATGAAGATTTACTATTTTTACTGTATATTACTTTGCTGGGTTTATTGTGCTTCAAGGGAGTGTTATGGTCCTGGAGAAGGGCAGCCCATTAATTCTTGGACACACAAACAGCCATAAACATTTTTATCTCTTGTTTGTTGTCCTGAAAACATGTTTTTCTTCCCAAAAAGCCACCTGTTGCTCTTAAGTGCCTTTCTCCTGGTCTGTAACCGTCCTAACGTCCTGTGGTGGTGGTATGCAGCCCTCACGCCTAACGCCCTCCTTGCGTTCCCCGTCACTGACTTTCCTGTGTGTGCACGTGCAAACTGTACACATAAGCCATTTTTTTCCCTCCTGTTCATGTTGTTGTTGTTTTCCCATTTTAATTTGCAGAACTGTAATTACCGAATCTAAAAGTATAGAGGAAAAATATTTTCTCCCTAAAAGGATGAGGGTAGGTCTTAGTTAAGAATTTTTTAATGACATCAAGACAATAAATTCACAGCTAGAATTAAGAATCTTTGGCACTGGGATCTCCCTGGTGGTGCAACAGGTTAAGGCACCATATTATGAAGCTCTCCGAAGCCCCTGCAGCATGAATTCGATCCCCCACCAGGGAGCTGACCCACGGGGTGCGGCAGAGCTCTCCTGACCGGCCTGCTGCTCCTTCAGCAGTGTACTTTGTCAGTCTGCCTGTTCTTTTCCCTGCTCTGTCTCTGGTGAATCCTCTTACCTACCACACCTCTCACCTGCACCCCAGTTCTGTAAGCATAAATAAATGAATCTTTGGCACAGAAAACATATAACCTGTGTCAATTTATTTTCATTTTGTTCATCTAAACGATTCCATGGACCCTTAAATTTATTAGACCAAACTCAGCTTATGGTCTCCCAGAGAGCAAGCATGATCATTATCCAAATAATATCACATGCTCTGTTTTCATCAAACTGAATGACAACAGAGGCAAGAAATCTCCAAGTGTTTTTAATTTTATGAACCACTATTGCCAAAGCTAACAAGACCCTAGGAATAAATTTTGATAAGGTAAATTCTCACTGTTTTACTGTGTGCTCATCACCTGGTGGTTGTGGTAGGACAGGTATACTCCAGTGTTAAGCTCTTGGTCAATAAGAAATGTTATCACAGTGGAAGGAAGTATTTTCATTCGTTTTGAAATGTGAGGTAAGCAAGGCAACCATGCACGAAATGGTTCCTTACTATAAAAACAAGAGCTTGCCTACAAAAAGAGAAATGAAAAGTCAATGCTGTTCTTGGAATATAAGCTCTAATTATTTTTCTTAGGCAAATAAGCTAGTTAACAAGTGTGTTGTCTGAGTGAAGCATAAAAAATAGTTTTAGTACTTTAAATCCCGTGTTTCTATTCCAAAGACTGAGTCCAGAAAACACTGCAAAGCATCCTCTCTGGTATGGATTGTTTTTCTAGAATCATTGATCAATCTAGATTTAACATAATTAGGTAATTACCATTTAAAGCCAAACAGAGTTTCATTTGGGAGTAGGAGTGATTGCTAAGCTCTCAGTCTGTGGACTTGCCTTCTTTCTTGAAGAGTGAGAGCAATCCAGGAAATCATGCCCAAGGAAATGTTACTTTTGAAAAATCTTTAATACTATACCTCACTCAGGGTTCTGTTTCTCTCAAAGGTGATAGTAACATAATCAACTGTAAAATACGAAGGCATGAAATTACAAATAGCATCTATCCTTCTAAGCACATCATTTATTTCTTTGCACTTATAACAGAGTGTGGTTTAATTTAATTTTTAATCGTCTCAGATTTTTCATTTTTGTCCTCAGCTTTAGGACATTAACTTCTACAAAACAAACTACTTCTGTTTTATCCTATTTTAGTTTTATTTCATTGAAGCTATATGTGCTCTCTTGAGAAAAGTCTATTAATATTTAACTAAAATTTACCTTCAAAGTGCTCTCTGTTAGCAAAACACTTTTCATTATACCACAATTTTCCTTTGACATAGTCACCCTAAACACACAAACAAAAACATGAAGCAAACAAAAACCTGAGTAAGTATGTGGACCGAAGATATAAATAGAAAAAAAAAAAACACTAAGAACATTAAAGTTCGATAGTTCAGAAATGTGAGGCAATTTGACAAAAATTGCATGCAAATAAAAGGTTGAAGGAGAACACCATGCAAGATTGTGATTTTTTAACAACACATGAAAAGGAATAAAAAGAAACTTCACATGAGTTAACACATGTCAATGAGAGATGCTCCAGCCTATAAACTGTCTTTCTGAAGCTACTGAGTGGTTAACCTTTTACCACAGATGCCACAGGTTGCATGCTTATCTCTGTTTTAGAACTGCAGGGAGACCTACTGAATCTTCACAGAAGTCTGACAGCAAAAGGAACATCAGGAAAACAGCCATCAGAACACAGGTTTTGAGAAATGTCATAAGAGAAAGGCTTCCAAGAAAGTGAAATTTCAGAGGTTGGATTTTAATTACATCCAAAAATTTGAAACACTTTTGTTATAGGAAGATTCTGACTTTTAAATTATTGTTGAGGGGCCTCCCTGGTGGTGTAAGGGGTTAAGTCTCAGCACTCTGAAGCTATCCAGAGCCACTTCAGCATGAGTTTGACCTCCCACCAGGGAGGTGATCCATATGGTACAGCAGACCTCTCCTGTCTGCCTGCTGCTCCTCTCAGCAGTGTGTTTCAGTCAGTCTACCTGTTCTGCTCCCAACTCTGTCTCTGGTGACTCCTCACCCCCTGAACCGCTGGCCTGTACCACAGTTTTTATATGGATAAATTAAATCTTAAAAAAAAAACTACTTTTGAGACATAGGAAGGCCTTCCTACATTTTTAAAGACCTATAGTAATCTGTTCATCAAAGGCTTTTTAAATAATCTAAAATTGATTGTGGTGCTGGTTGCATAACTGTGAATATACGAAAGGCCATTTACACACTACATGAGTGAATTTTATGCTAACTGCCAAGCAAACAAGACTTTTCAAACGGAATGGCTGGGACAACAATTGATCTACTAGCATGGCCTTGGGGGGTACCATGTTCCCCTTCTTCACTTTACACGTAGCCATCTTGGACTAACTACTGGGAACTCAAGATGGGGCTGGGCGGCCAGTGAAGCTCTGTAACATGGAAAACAGCGAGAATTGGGGGCACCAAAGAGCAATCTTGCTTCTCAGCTTTGACTTGCACCTTGGTAGTGCTGAAAGGGAACCTGAGGGCTGTGGGGACGGATAATGACAGCTGCTATCATGACCTGTCTTTGGTTTTGCTCCTTTTGTCCCAGACTCGCCTGGTTCTTCTTACCCTTTTCTTGCTTTTCTCCTCAGAAAGTGACTTAGATGGCAAGCTTTTGAGCCAAAAAAGCTCTTCTGTGAGCAACCCTGTTTTTCCAGGCATTCGCCCATAAGGAGATGGGTCATTTGGGGAGGTTTATTGAGAAATTATTATTAGAAATATACTCTCTTCTCTTCCCTCTCTATGCACACTAATTCTTTAAGTGATTTTTCACACTAAGAGTATGTTTCCTTCTTCTTTTCTTTTTTTTTTTACAGTGGATGACAGAACTGTATTAGGCCATCCACTCCATTTGTTTGGGCCCCTGTTTCATGCCTAGGATGTATGCTAAAAGTAGATTCAAGCTAAGGTGTCCTCAAATGAGCATTTTGAGTTCTCATATAAATCTTTAGGTTTGCAGGAAACTCACATTATCATTATAATTTCTGAGCAATTAATATAAACTCTTTACTGATCTATTCCTTTTCCCCTTCCCTCCCCCGAATCAAACTGGCACCAGCCCAATAATTTAATTTGACCAGGTCAACTCATTCCAAGGATGAGCTCTGGTCCCTGCCTAATGCAGAGCCACAAGGATTGGTCAGGAGTGAACGGAGACCCATGTCAGGTCAATTAGTTGACACTGAGACTTGGTGGAAGGACTAGAAGCTACTTTCTGTTGGGATTGTTAACAACTCATTCCCCTACTGTGCTAGAATCTGCTTTAGCCTGGTTCCTGTCCATTTTCTTCAAAAAGGTCCCAACTGTGGGGGAGAGATCCCAACTTTCCCCCCTAAGTTATCTGCTTTGTTTCCTGCAACACGCACATATAATATTAGCCACCTCACTCTAAGAAGCCAATATTGTTATGCCCATTTGAAAATGAAGAAATTGAGGTCCAAAGAGTTATAGAACCTGTACAGAATTACATGGCTAATAAATTTGTGCAAGGCTTGGCTCCAGTTTGTCTTTATTTATTCATTGGCTCAGTAGGCACTTACCTGTATACAACGGGAAATACGGTAGTCCTTCACTTGCCGGCTAATATCTGTGAGGAAAGTCAGGGGACTCAGATGCTAGAAATAAGTGCTGAGAGCTTTGAGGTTGCAAGAGAAGGTCACTTTGGTGGCCAGGGAGGAGTTCCTGATGAATGAGTGGTAATTCTCTAAGTGGAACTGAGGGGAGTCTGTGGGGTAGGGAGGGCATAAGTAAAGACATGATGACTTTATGCAAAGGATTCAAGGTATGAGCAATGTTTGCTCCCTTCAAGGAGGGTGAGTTGTTAATATGACTGGACAGAATACCTTGAGATGAGGAGCCGGAATGACAAGGATATAAAGGCTCTGACTATAAAGGATTTTTATAGTCTTGCAAAAAGTTTAGATTTTATCCTTAACAAATTAACCCCAAATCCCTGATGTTTCACTGAACAGATTTTGGTGGCTAACTAACAGATTTTGCTTCATGCCAAGTCCCAAACTGGGGGCATTTGTGCTTAGTATTACCTCTGTAGGATAAGCGTTGTCAAAATCATTCCTTCAATCTTTCAAGTGTTTGCTTAACTTTTACCTTTTTTGTAGAGGCCTGCAATATAATCACCCTATCTAAACACATATTTTCCCTTCCTGCCTTAATTTCAACAGGCACATTGATATCTAAAATCTTTATACATGTATTCATGAGCCTGCTTATAATCTAGCTCCCTAATAAAATGGTAAGCTATGTGAGCACAGGAACTTTGTCTTGCTCACAATGGAATCCTCCTTGTCTACACACATATGGCCTAGAAGTACCCAATAAATTCTGTTGCATGGGTGAATAAGTGAAAGAATATTAATTCCAACTGCTTATCTGAACTGTCATAGACATCTCATTCTTTTTTTTTTTTTTAACTTTTATTTACTTATGCATAAGCAATGAGGTACAGACTAGAAGTGCCGGGGTGGTGAGAGTATTCACCAGAGACAGAGTGGGGAGCAGAACAGGCAGACTGATGAAGTACACTAATGAGGGGAGCAGCTGGCAAGATAGGAGAGGACTGTCACGTGGGTCACTTCCCCGGTGTGGGATAGAACTCGCGCTGAAGTGGCTGCAGCTAATTTCATAATGCTGTGCTTCAATCCATTGAGCCACCAGTCTTCTAAAGTTGATAAACTATCTCAGCAAAACACAGGGCATGCCAGACAGCTCATCCTTACTGTCGTTCTTTCAATCATCATGCAGGAGTCCTCACTGAAAGGTAAATCCCTGATGAATGTGTTAATCCTAGCCCTTTCCTTCCCTGCTACACGACCCATCTACTGCTAAAATTTCCTGTCTACCCTCACTCATCACTAACAACTCCTGTGTTTTGCTGAGATAGTTTATCAACTCTAGAAGACATATTATTTATTATTATCATTGCAAATGGTAGAAATCATGTGAAGGGCAAATTGTGATTATCTTTTAATAACTTTACCACTAGCTCTGTCAATCCAAGTTTTTGGAACGTATTGTTTTTGAGACACCTGGGCACATATAAAGTTTCTAGGTACAAAATCATCAGGGCAGCATTGCTGGTAATAGTGAAAATGTCAGAAAACTCCCAAGTATCTATCCATAGGCCTCAGATTAAATAAAGTCTGGTAAATCCATACAATGGAATACTTGCAGCTGTAAAAAATGAGAAGAGTCCTTTCTCCATGAACTCAAATGAAATTTTCCCCTGATATGTTGATAAGTGATAAGTACATTTAGTATATAGCTTAAGAAAATGAGAATATATAGTCACAATTATTTGAATTTACATTAAAAATTAATGAAAAGTTTTAAAATAAAAATAGTATCCACAGCTTACATGAAGAGGACAGGAAGAACAGTCTGAGTATATAGATATGGGAATGAGACTTCCCAAATTATATCTTTATATTATATTTTTGGTCTTTGATTATGTGGATGTATTGCCTATTTGAAAATAATAATTTTTAGATATTTAAAATCTTTATTTCCTTTGTAACATGCCTTCTCCACTGAAAAATCCTTACCTGGAACTCTAAGTAGATAGAAAACATAAAGATATTAACTAAAATGAGAAAAATAGATACACATTGTTCATCACAGTCTCCTCTCCTCTATCTTCTGTATCTATTCTCATTAGTCTAATTTGTTAAAATTCTTCTTGAGTATTTTCCTTAGTTGGGACAACTGGGTGATATACTGTGAATTCTTTCTTAACCTGAAATATGAATAATCTCTTAGCTAGAAATAGGAGTTTTGGATTTTGGTACTTTAGCTTTGATAATCTGTAGAGTGGATTTATTTTCTTCCAGCTGCTACTGTTTTACAAATGAAATCTAACTCCAGGCAGGTATATTTAGCTTTTGTTCATGCTGCTTGGAAATTTGTATAGTTTCCCCTTAAACTTCAATGTCAGAAGTCTTCATGGGACATAGCTATGATTACATTTCTTCAGTCATCCCAGGATTTAGCAAACATTTTCAGTACAAAGACTTGGATCTTTCTTAGTGTAATTTTCTCCCATTATTTCTTTTATTATTGCTTCTCTTCTACATGTTCCTTTTTTTTTTTTAATCTTTCTGAAGATTCTTAGGCCTCATGGATCCTCCTCAAAAGTTCATCTTTGCCTTTGTGATTTCTGTCTATCTCGCCAGATGGCTTGAAAAAAAAAAAAGTCTTCCTCTTGACCAATCAAGCCACTCACCTGCATCTAAACAATGACTGTTCTTCCTTCAGTTCACTCCATTTTTAGTTGTTGTTTGTGGGATTTAGGCCCAGGAAGCATTGTTATGCTATGCTTGAGGCTACTTATGGAAGCTGTCAGTGTTTTCTTCTTGCTAGTATTTATCCCAATGACAATAACATAAGCTCCTAATTGGTGTCTGCCCGTTGATGCCAAGTGACTCAATTCAAAGCTGTTGTTCTAGTTAGCTCGTTGTTGCCTTTCCCACCAGCCACTTTAGTTTTATATTCTGTTTCTGATTATCTCTTAGGGTGCTGGGCTAGCTGGATATACTTTGAAGACAGGGCTCAGGTCTGGTTTGGGGAGTACATCAAATCATGTCAATACTGAAAAGACAGAAGACAAAGCATTCTCGGTCCCTCAAGGTTACCATTTTCTCATCTCAGAACCAGAAAAAAGATATCTTGCTTTCAGGTCTTTTCCAGCCTGCCTGCCTTTGGAGAAAAGTAATCTTCCATCAGGCTTCTTTCTAGGAGACAAGCCACATTTGCAAGCTAGCAGAAACCTTCTCTGGGAGTTCAGGGAGTTCTGCAAACCAACTCTGTCTAGGACCTCTTACCTCCCAGTCCTCTAGCTCATGTCTGTGTTGCCACATACTACGTTCTCATATAACTGATAAGAGGAAATACATGCCAGTCTCCTGAGTGGCATTCCTTAAAGCTCAAGCCTCAAGTGGCTCTGGTTGTCCAGCAATCCTGAATGCCTCCTTGATTTAACAGGCAGGTAGCCTGGAAGTTAGTTGTTTAGGCAGCAAAGCTCAGGTTACAATCTCCTCTATCTCTTTATTTGATAGTTTTTTGCTGTGATTTGGACGTAGGTATACCTCTTACAATTAACGTATAGCCCAATAATATTTAGCTTTCTAATATATTCCTTTCTGATATATTTGGATTGCTTCGGACTATCTTAATCTTATTCTATAGTTTTTCTTTTATCTTTGTATCTGTTTTCTTCCTTTGTTACTTTTGGTGAAACTGATAGGATATTTTTTAACTTTTCCCTTTCCTCTTTAGGTTATGTGTTTTTCTTTTTTGGTAATTACCTTTTAATTTTTTGACATATATGTCTAACTAGACATTTTTCTAAATTTATTCCCCTTATTGATGCTCATATCAAATAAGGAGCTTAAAATACTTTGATTATCCACTGAAAACGATCTCCATTTCTCCGTGCTGTGTTGTTTAGAGGTTTGGTTCTATACAATTAATAAATACAAAATTTGTAACTCTTATTTTCACACCAATTGCATTGTTTGAACAAACATTTTTGAAGTGCCTATTTTGTGTCAGGCGCTCTCCTAAACACAGATCCCAGAGTGAAGAACCTAGATAAGGTCCCTGCCCCTCTCAGAGCTTGGAGTAAACATTCTAGTTATCTTTGTTTCTGGGGGCCCACTCTTGGGGCTTGGGGGTGGGAAGGGCTCTCATAATGTGCAAACTACTTTTCTTCACTTTCATTTGTAAATGCTATAGTGTAACTAGGCTTGGAATTCCATTTTAACAGTTATTTCCCACTCTTCTTTCTGATGTCAATCGATTTTTCCTCCTACTGATATAGCAAGAGCCAGTTTCCTTTGTTTGCAGAGAATAAGCAGGTGTGCAGGGTCACTGTCGCTCACAGGCCAAACGAGGTCAGAATGGGAAAAAAACACAGCAAAAGACTAAGAATACTCATAATTCTGTTGTAGTTGGGCCTCCCTGGTGGCACAAGGGTTAAAGTCTCAATGCTATCAAGTTATCACCAGCCACTGCAACATGAGTTCAATCTCCAGCCAGCTTGCTGACCCACACGGGGAAGCAACCCTCTCTGCTTCCCCTCAGCAGTGTATTTCAGTGGATCTGCCTGTTCTGCTTCCTGCTCTGTCCCTGGCGAATCCTCTCACCCCCACTCTGCCCATGCTTCAAGCCTATACCCCAGTTCTTGTATGCATAAATACATAAAAATAAATCTTTAAAAAATTTGTTGTTGTAGTTTCCAAATTGAAGCATACAAGTTGAGACACACAACTTGACTTTGTAACAGAGAGGGGAGAAACACAGTCCTCAAAAGAGTCATAAGCAGAGCTGTGGCTAGCTTATGAGGCACTTTGTTCACTAGAAAGAATTCCCATTTCTCCAGGGGGGCACAGACCTACACCCAGGTCTTTGAACTCTGGAGTAAAGCATTTGCCAGATTTAGCAGTCTCTTGAAATGGTCACCCTTATGTAGAACACACCAGAAAACCACAATAATCCTGGACAGAAAGCTTAAAGAAGGGGTACCCCACTGAAATAAGGAGAGATACTTCTTCCTTGGAAACAGAAGCGATTCTTGCTTGTTGTTTGGTGGAAATACATATTTTAGTTCAAACTGTAAATATATACTGTTTTACAATAATTTATCACTTTATAATCATGTATATGATGCCAGGAATAATCTATATTGTGAGTTCTTATCTTGCCTGTTATGTTTGATCATCAGGTAAACATACCTAACTTCTAACCGACCTTTAGATATTTAAAATTTCTTACCCTTTCAAAACCACAAAAGTCAGCTCTTGAAAACTAGAAGAAAATAAAGAGAAACCTTATTTTAAGTTAAAAAATATGAGAAGACATAAGCAATATAGCAATTTAAAGCAGACAAGAAAATCATGCTTTTTTTATATACCAATATTTAGTAGGATCAAACACTGACGTAGTAGGCATGATATGCTGGCAATTTCCTCTTCAGTCTTTGTCCTGTTTTGTCATTTGATTAATATATCTATACTTTAACTTAACTCCAGAAAGGACTCAAAGTCAAAACCGAATACTTTTCAAGATTAATGGAGTTACGAGGTGTATAGAAAGACACTAAGTCATCTACCCATTTGGGCTTATAAAGGGTTGACAGCACCGAGTGGCACTGTTGCAGTGAGCCTCTGTTGTTCTGTCTACCCCCAGGCAGGCTCCGAAGAAGGCCCTCACCTTGTGTACCCATGCCTCATTCTCAGTGCTTTGAATTTAAGTTGCAGTGGACAGTTACTTATCGACTTTAACAATTACATCATAAACACTTAAGTGCCAGAGAAAAACACAGTTATCTGAGCCACCAAGAGTACTTTTTCAGAGGTGGTGAAGGAAGACTGTGAATATTCCTATATTGGAAGAAAGATAGTAGCCATGTATCGTCGATTCCACCTATCCATGGGGTGTCCATTCCAAGACCACCAGTAGGTGTCGGAAGCCACAAATAGTACCAAACCCTACATACATTATTTTCCCTCTACATACATCCTACCGTAAAGTTTAAATTATAAATTAAAATCAAGATAGTAACAATAACTCATAATAAAGTAGAACAATTATTAATAATATCCTAAAATAAAACCTATGTGAATGTTCCCTTCCCCCCACTCCCTGCCATGAAATACCTTCTTGTGTATATTTTTGGACCACAGGTACTGAAACCAAGAAAAGCAAAACTGGATAATGGGGGGCTGCTATATAAGAAATACCTGCTTCTCAACCAATAAATTGTTCCTTATCTCCCCCTCCCCCCCACCCCACTACTGTTCCTAAGTCCATTACTGCTTTAATTGTGCTGTGGTAATTTGGAGAAGCATTTATTAGCATGTTTTAAAATTCCATGGTATGCATATTGCATAGCCTCCCCAAAATGTATATTACCCTTCACTCACTCCCAAAACTTATTTTTAATTTATGTTATTTTGTAATGCTATATTGAGCTTTATCCCTTACCCTAGGCCATTTTGAAAACACATTTAACATAGAGAGATAGGGAGCTAGCTAGATATGTAAATAATTTTCTACATGTATATATTTAAAACTTTATATAAATGTGTACAGCAATACAATCAGCACCATTTCCAAGTGATATATACTATATACTCTTTCTCTCTCTCATATATATATATAAGGCAAAGGCAAAGTTACTCTATTATGCTGTTACATATTTTAAAAAGAAGGGGGAATTTTAATTCTAAATATGCCCTATGTAACTAAAATATCCAATATTTCTACTTTATATCACAGAAGACGTGTAAGGCTACAAGGAAATTCACATACCTTTAAAGTACTGAATGCTGGATAACGAAGATCTTCACTTACAAAAAGACCCAAAGATGTGAGGATAACTAAAAAGTGATTAGTTAAGACCATATCCACCACTGAAAGCTCTGCATGTTCTAAAGGAAGAAATCACCGTGCATTAAACATAGAGGGAAGTGAGCTCAACAGCAGTACAAAGACATTTTATAAATATTGGTCAATCATTGAACGCTGAATGTGCAAGAAGTGTTAGAGGAATTACCTTCTCCAACTTCTACATAGATCATATCTGACAGGTTATACCACAGGGCATCAGCATAATTCCAAAATCCAGACTCGGTGAGGCCTAGGTAGATACCTAGTGTATGAGAAAAGGAAAAGTCAGGCTGGACAACTGTGTAAAGTTAGAGACTCGACCCCAAGGTGCTCCATCTCCAGGGTCAGTGGCTGTGTTGCCTCCACTCTCCACCCATTCTCTACTCCTGCCTCAGCCCTGCACTTCTTGGTTGGAATCTGACACCCTTAAGCAGAGGAAAGAAGGAACTTCAGGTTATACCACAAGACCATAATCAATTATTTGACTTAACTATTAAAGATTTTGTTTTACACTGAAGGGAATCAGAGTATTTCACCCCCAAATATGTCACTTTGGCATAAGGCTGTTGAACTGGAGGCTACTGAGAATCAACAGCTGCAGGGAGAGTCCTCTGTCCCCCTTAGCTCTCCAAAAGCACAGTATACATTTCCCCTTGGGGGGGCACCCCACCCAGGCCCAAAGAAGAGGATTCTTTTTTTTTTAAGTGTTTATTATTTATGCACATAGAACTGGGGTACAGGCCAGAGGTGCAGGGGCGGTGAGAGGCTTCACCAGTGACAGAGTGGGGAGCAGAACAGACAAATCGATGAAGTACACTGCTGAGATGGGCAATTGGGTCACCTCTGAGGCAGGGATCAAAGTCGCACTGAACAGCCGCGGCTGCCACCAGCTTCGCAGTGCTGTGCTTTAACCCGCTGCGCCAGCAGGGAGGGTCCAAGAATATTCTTATCAGCAGATACAGGGAGTCAGCACTAAGACCCATCTACATAAACAGATCTGTCTAAGGTAACTCTTATCCTCCACACTACTTGTCCTACATATTTCCTAACATTTTATTGTCCCTTGAAGGGATAAACTTATTTTCTTTGTTAAAATTGATGACATGCCTCCCCAAGTTTAACCACCTTAAATTTCACTTCTTTTCTGTGACTTCCATAGATGCAAATATTAATGAGTGATGAGTGCCTTTTCTCCTGCTAATCTGTCTCTTAGTTTAATTTACAGGTCTCACTCACTGAACAAGAGAGTGGAGAAAGAGTCCTTCCCCCCACCCCCACCTTAAAATACCCTCCTAAGCACAAATATATTCACACTTCAGGAGCCCAATCTTAGTCAATAATTTAAAAAGCTCCAAAGAAGAAAATTAAAGTGTAAACTCTAAGAAAGAAGAAACGAAACTAGACCATTCTCTCACACTACAACTGAAACAAAGAGACACCTCCCCGAATGGGAGAAAATATTTGCACACCATACATATGACAAGAAACTGTCATATAAAAGATCTACAAAGAGCTCATATGAGCCAACAAAACTAATCAACCTAATCAAAAAATGGGCAGAGGAGGACTTCTCCAAGGAAGACATACAGTTGGGTAATGGGCATATGAAAACCTGTCCATCATCACTTACCATCAGGGAACTGCAGATCAAAACTGCAATGACTGAAAATGCAGAAACAACAACTGCTGCCAAGGGTGTGAGAAGAGGGAACCCCCTTACACTGTGGGCAGGGGTACGGACTGGCCGACCCCTGTGATGAGCAGTGTGGAGGTTTCTCAGAAGACTAAAAATGTATCTGCCAGATGACCCAGCAATTCTACTCCTATGTATCTACCCCCAAATACAAAAAAGACTCATTCAAACAGAAACCTGGACTCCTATGTCTTAGCAGCACAATATACAATAGCCGAGATATGCCAACAACTTAAGTGCCCTAAAACAGATGAATAAATGAAGAAGATGTGGTCTGGACACACAATGGAATCAGTGATCAATAAAGATAAACACGCCAACTGGAGCAACATGGATGGAGGTGGAAGGGATTATGTGATGTGAAAGAAGCCAGGAGAAAGATAAATACTGGATGGTGTCACTTACATGTGGAATATAGAGAAGCCAAATAAAGGGACAAACAAAGACAGACTTTAAAACCAACTTTTGAAAGACAACCCCAGATTTACTGCAGAGGAGGAAGGGGAGAAGCATTTGCCGGAGGCGGGTGGGTGGAGGGCCAGGGTCTGTGGTGTGTCAATGGTGGGAGAGTGGCAGTTGCTGCCCCTGAGGAGGTGCATTGTCACTGTCAAAACACTAACAAGGATGGAAAATGTGGTCCGTCAGTAGAAGTTAAAACTGAAGGAAAAAGCAAAGAAGCAATGAGCGTTGGTGAGGATGTAGAGAAAACGCAATCCTCTTGCACTGTTGGTGGGGGTGTAAATTGGTGCAGTGGCTATGGAAAAACAGGAGGGCATCTCCTCAAAAATTCAAAAGAGAACTACCATATGATCCAGCAATTCTACTTCTGGGTATTTATTAGAAAAATATGAAAATAGTAAGTTAAAAAGATATTCAAACATCTGTGATCATGGGCAGATTTCATAATGGTCAAGATATGGAAATAACCTAAGTGTTTGATAATGATGGATGGTTTGATTTTTTAAAAAATGAGGTGGCATTAATGTTTATGCACACCTACATTACAGTGCTACTCAATTATATTTAAAAGGAAGATGAAATCTTGCCACTTGCATCAACATGGATGAACCCGGAGTGGAGTGTGCTAAGTAAGTTCAGAGGAGAAAGAATTTAAAGAAACAATGCGATGAAACAAACAAAAACACATGGACTCTGGCAACAGAATGGTGTTTATTGGAGAGGAATGGAGGGTGGGACAGGTAGAGGTGGTTGAATGGTTGGTGGAAGACAGTGACTATACATTGGGGGGGCGGGTGTGGTTAGCATATGCAATCTCAAGGTGAGAAACTTATACCTGAAACATATACATGGTTATAAACTGGTATTACCTCTCTCTCTCCTCTCTCTCTCTCTCTATATATATATATATTTACATATACATATATATATATATATGCATATATATAAAGGTGTCCTAGATTTTAGCTTTGAGTATCGGGTATTAATAGGGAAGAAAGGTACAGATTTTAGAGGAAGATGAATCGAGAGTTCTAGATTCTTCTTGTTATACATGAGGTGCTCACTAAACACCAAGAGGAAAAGGTAAAACTGACAACTGAATACAGGAATTGGTTTCAAAGGTGGGCTCAGCATCAGAAACACAGATTTGGGTATCACCAGCCTGAAGATGGCAGTGCTACCACGAGACTGAGTTATACTTCCCAGAGCCACCTTTTGAGATGTAAAATAACCAAAGAAAAACATGCAAAACACAATAAAGACAACCCTGAGGTGAGGAGCTGTATCCCTCCAGTTGTATTATTATGTGCATGACTGGCAAATCAAAAAATTTGAAAAATAAAATTAAATAACACTGGAAGAAAAACATGTTTCCCAGCGAGAAAGAGAGAGAGAGGTGGTTACATAGGGAAGGAAAGTCAAGGAAAAAGCATGGGTTCATCAATATTTTAGGGTCACACTGGTAGAGGAGATGGCCTAGAAAACTCAGGAGTGACCACTGGAAAAGAGTAAAGCAAGTCAAAAGAACACTGGTTTTGAGGAGAGAGTGGTCAACGTGTCCAGCGCTGCTGGGAGGGAAAGCAGGTTGGAGATGAGGGACTGGCTGTTGGAAGTGGCAGAACAGAGACCACAGGTGATCTGGGAAGAACTGTCATGGGGTGCTGGGGACAAGAGTCGTGTTACAGTAGAATGAAGGTAAAATAGAAGGTGGAAACTGTAGCACTGTAGTGATAAAGTCCCTCTATAAATTGTTTTGAAGGAGACAGAATAATGGGGAGTGAAAGTAAGTTGAGCTAAATGAAGGCTTTGTTGAAGGTGTTTAAGATGGGTATTGAGACTGTTTGTATGTGAATGGGTCTGATCCAGGAGAGAGCCTGAGATGATTGGGGAGAGAAAGGGGTGAATCTAGGACAGGCAGCAGCAGGGTCTCCAGAGACTGGAAGGAACAGGACCGGAACAAAGAGGGGAGAGGTGACCTTGAAGCAGCAGACACACTTGTTATGAGGAAACAGGCAAAAGGCAAAGCAAGCCATGGGATGGCCAGTCTACAAGAGCAAGGAGGAAAGAGCACTTGTGCCCGACCTCAGTTTTGTTTGCTAAGTATTAAATAAAGGCACAGCTGAGAATGGAAAAGGAAAAAAGCTGATGGAGAGTGTTTGAGGACTGGGAAGGGGGTGATAAGGTCACTTGGCAGGGTGGGAAAATAAACATACCAGGGGAAAGAGAGGGTTTCTGGGAGTGACCACTTGAGATTGGTGAGTGTGAATTTACAGTGAGTCCAGTGGAATTTTAAAAGATTAGCATACGGTTTTTTCTTAGCAAAAAATTTCTAGCAATAGTCTGCCACTCCCAGTCAGAAGTAGGGGTGGATTTAACTAGAGTGGGGATTGTGTAAGTAAGAAAGGTAGAAAGAAGCAAGGAAGTAAAAGAAGTATGTGTGAGGATGGGCCATGCAGACTATGGTGAGAAAGGTGAAAATAAGGATGTGGGGGAGGGAAAAAGAAGGAACAACAAACGTATTAAAGTCTTGATGAAAGCGAAGAGATGTTGGAGCATGAAAACTAGGCCAGGCTGAACCCCCAGGATGTAGAGAACAGAGCATGAGGTGCTTGGAGTGGAGACTTGGAGTGTGAGTGACATTACTGGACCCCCTTGGTGTGAAGTAGGACCACAGAAGATGGAGCAGAGGCCTTGAAACTGAGTCCTGTGTGATTCATCCACATGGTGGTGAAGTCTCTGAAAGCAGACACCAAACAAGGTCAGAGGACCTTGTTACACTCATCAGCTACACTCCTTGGGGGTGAGTGTGTGCCCCCAGCAGGTCCCGTGTGCTGACAACCAGGACTGCAAAAAGAACTAAGAGGAGTTGGAAGGAGTTGGTGTTTTGAAGAAGACAGAAGTAATGAGTAAGAAGCAGTGCTGGGCCCTCCCCAGAGGTGCAGTGGGTTAAGGCACAGCACCGTGACGCTCTCTGCAGCCAGTGCAGCACCAGTTCAATCCCCGGCCAGAGAGGTGACCCACATGGTGCAACAGACCTCTCCTGTCTCTCCTTAGTTCCCCTCAGCAGTGTATTTCAGTTGATCGACCTGTTCTGCTCCCCACTCTGTCTCTGGTGAATCCTCTCACTGCCCTGCACCTGCACCCCAGTTCTTGTATGCATAAATAAATAAATCTTTAAAAAAAAAAAAAGCAGGGCCAAGGCGCACAAGGATACTCTGGGCTCTGAGAGATGTGGTGTGAGGAAGGGCTACAAGGCAAATGGAAATGGCAGAAAGGTTTAGGGGTCTTGCAGAGAAAAGATCAGTAGTAGAATGTAAAGGGGGCGGATGCTGATGACAGACCATGAATTCCAAAGAAAGCGTTGGGGTCGGTACAGGGGACAGAGTTTGGGTCAAATTAAAAGAAACACAGACAAGTTTGTGATGGAGGGTAATAACCGGGGGGCTCAGGTTTCTGCTGGTGACTGAGGAAACTGGGGGACTCTGATGATGTGTCTTCAGAGTCCATAGAGAAAGAAAGTAGGACATGTGGGGTTGCTGGGCCCGGGGTCCCTCCAGCAACGCCGTGAGCTGTGAGGTCAGAGGGGCGAGCAAGGACCCAAGAGGAGGTGCTAGCTTCGGAGGTGGCAGCTTGCTCCTGTGGGAACTTCTCTTTTGCTTCAGCACAGTGGCCCCCTGGGAAAAGCGGCTTCAGGCAAAGCATAGGTTGCTCAGGTCATTTCTTTTCCCAAGAGGTAGAGGCAGAAGGTGAGTGGGAGACCTGTCTCTCCTCCTCTGGTTGAGCTTGAGGTGAAAATGGCTCCTGTCTTGTGGCTATTTTACATATGAAGTAAAATAACAGGATGCCTTAGCTCAACAATACTGTTTCCTCATGTGCAGCAGGCAAAGCAGCAGGATGGGAACCCCAGTGAATGACTCCTAAGAGACACAGCAGCGTCCCTGGAGGGGGCAGGAGGTAGAGGAAAGTACCGAAAACACTCAAGTTGCTATTCACAGGGCAAAAAGCCGCAGGGAAAGAAAAAGCACATCACACTCGCAAGCAGACAAGGTGAAGTGATAAAGAGCAAATTCTTTGGTATTTTTAGGAGGTACTTTTACTCTGTCATGTCTGTGTATTTAACTTGTACTGCCAGTTCAATAGTGCTGTTATAAAATTCAGAACCTCTTCCAAAATCCAGTAAAGCCAGGGACTTACCATTGTGTGTTGAATTCAAAATGAAGCCAAGCAATGCTACATCATTGGCGCAGGGACATTTTGTCACTTTGAGATCTACCACATGTGGATACAATTTCCTGATCTCATTTTTCGGGACCAGAGTGCCCAGAGGCCACTGAAGGATAGGCTCTGTGGAGGTCAAGTCCAGGTGTTTAAATTGTAGCAGCAGTCATGGAAATGGGACATTACAGCTTTTCTTTAAAGGTTTTTAAGCAACAACAGAAAGCATTGTTCAAAAACTGGGTGTTGTACCTTACTTTTCAACAGTTAAAATTCTGCCAACACAATTTCTAGAGTGAGGTCTCATTGCCCTTGGTGGGGCCTGCAAGGTCAGGGGGACACCACACAGGCCCCAGGCTCTGTTGCCAGAAACAGGATCTCTGGACCATAGAATTTGCCATTTATAATTTAGAGAACTTCAGGAGTCCACGCATTTACTTCTTGTTTTCTTCCCTAAACCCACTTACACAGTAGTAGCTTTAAAAAAGGAAACAAATCCACTAATCCACTAGAATAAACTCACTAACAAGAACGGGAGTTGACACTAGTGGCCGAGAGAGGTTTCTGGAAGACAGAAAGAGACTATGGTGGGACCAGCAGGAAAAGTCAATCAGCAATGGGACACCTTTAACCTTTCAACCTAGCAATCTATTGTCAGGTATACAAAGGGTTGAATTTGGATAACTTTAAATTTTAAAGCATAATTAAATGGGAGGATATCCTTTCTTCTGGGCAAAAAAAAAATGAGAAGGGAGAGTAAAAAAACTAAGCCAGGGTTCAAAAATATTTAAAGTACTTTTACAAACAGCAATAGCTAATAATTCTTTACTGTTTACACTTCTACAGTGTACGTCTCCTCCATCTCCCTGAACTTTCACTAAAATCTGCGGTAAAACCAAAGACTTTATGTAATATATGTTTTTACTTTGGGCAAAGCAAGATAAGGAGGTGAATTTCCATCTGTGTCGACACAGAGGATAACACAGCGACAGCTAAGAGAGAGAGACACATTTACAACCAAACTAACTCAACAGCAAGTCACCCCAGGACTCATTGAAATTTGGGGCAAGGCGGTTGACTTTCCAGAGCATAGCATGTGTGTTTGGGCAGTTAACAACCAGAGCTCAGAGGCCAGGGAGATTTGAACTTGCATCTGGAGCATCATTACAAACTCCTTTAACTCAGATGCTTCATTTTCAAAGTTTTAAGAATGAGGGAGACATTAAAAACCTTGACTGTGATAGAGAAGCTAAAAAAGGAGACAGAAGAGAGATCAAAAGGAAGGTGGCTGGTGATAGTGATGAAGAGCAGTTTCAGGGGAGTGATTGGTTTAGGGATGGGGGAGAAGGAAGTAGAAGTTTGAAATGGCTTTTAAACTTCTTTTTGGGTTTCACAGTAGACAAAGGTTTCTAACAGTAACTGTAGCCATAGACTTAACCCTTGATCGCCATAGCATCTCAGAACATGATAGTCTAACCCACTTGACTGCTCAGGCAAAGAATCAGAATTTATCCTGGACACCTGGTATCCCTCACCTGCTCCCTCATCTGGAGGTTGTACCAGCTCTATTCTAGAGACTCATTTCTCACCATCTCCACTGCAGTTGCACAAAGCCCGAGAATTTTGGACCAACTCCTAAGTGTGTGTGTGTGTGTGTGTGTGTGAGAGAGAGAGAGAGAGAGAGAGAGTGCTCTATTAAGTGAAACCTATTTGTTGCATCAATTATTACTGAGGCAACATTGGTTACAGCACTGTACATGATTTAGAGACACAGGCTCACACCTCCTCAGACCTATGTTACCACAGCACACCCACCACCACAGGCTCCACAGTCCTCCACCACAGTCCATGGGCCCTTTCCCATTTTTACTCACCCTCCCCCATCCATGTGCTCAGAGCTGCAGTCCTTCCATCAGAAACTTCTGGAGTTTGTTTCATTCTCTCTTCCTGAGAGTCAAATTTCTACCTGGCAACTGCAGTGAGAACACCCCTACTCCCCATCCAAAGTTCTGTTCCTTACTTCTTCTCAATGCAATCACTATTGTGAAATTGCTACGTGTACTTCTAGCCCATTTAAGATGTATTTACTACAAAATACACACTCATGAGCAGAATGTAGTGTTGCTTTGTCTTTTCTGAATGTTAGGTAAATGCTTTTCTACTCCATTCTGAAACTTGATTACTCACTCATTGTTTCTGAGTTCTGTTCTTGATGATATACCTGGGCCCATTTTCTTCATTTTAACAAAGCATGCCACATCTTTTCTCCAATTGATGGGCATTTGTTCTGCCTTCAGTTTTTTTTTTTTTAATTATTGCAAATAATGTGCATTAAGTGCATTTGTACCTGTCTTTTGTCACATATGCAACTTCCTCTCTGGACTAGTTTTCAATCTTCTGCAAGTCAGAATCAATGGGCTAAGATGCCTGACCCACCTGAATTCTACAGGTTGTGACTGGAGTTTGGTGGGGTCACACATGATTACTGGATGAGTCTCCCCATAAAATGTAGTATTTCTTTATTTCCTCTATGAACCATATCAAAATGGGAGTAGAAGGATAAAAATTAAAATGAAGATGAGGTGAGTGAGGATAAATACAAGATCTAGGATTGAGGATTTAAGAAATATATCCTATTGAGGTACAGGTGATCTCAAGTTGGATCAAACAATTGGAAAAACCAGGCCTAGTTAGTTATATTACTGTGCTCATAACCTCAAAACAATCAATATTTCATGAAAACATACGAATGTCTTAGCTAAGACTAAGGAAGAAATTTTGCAAGCGGTCCTCATAAAGGTGGTGTAATACAATTAATAGTACTTCCAATCATGTCTTAATAGAAGGCACAAAACCAATGAAACCATTGGTTATTATGACCTCTAATGTGCTGTAGGAAAAAGTATATGTCTATATTCCTATGGCAGTCTTTGTAGACCCCTACTAACAGCCACCCAAAGTATTTAATTCTTTGCCTCATCAGATTGTGCGTCCTTCAACGATTATGATAGCTCTTATTTATCTTTTATTTCTAGGACTTAGCAGAGATGGCATATAGTGGATGGGCAGGTTTGTTGAAAGAATATTACAAATTCAATTTTTCTTTCTTGATCTACTAGCATTTACCTCGAACGGTATCCAATAGTGTGCCTTCAGTAGTATAGATATTTAATACGTGGTGGAAAGTAATCCTGACTAGCCATTCTTCTACAGATGCAATATCTGTTTCAAAACAAAAAGCAAGAGGAGAGAAGAGCACAACAGACTATGGTGATGGTTCATGGGTGAATTGGTGGTGGGAATTTCACAGGAAATAACACCCGAGAAGAGAAAGTGTGCATGTACAAAAATGAGCAATGATTGTAAAATATAAACTAATTAGTTAACCCATAACAAAAGCAAATAATCAACTATTTTTTGTATGCCATGTTGGTGAAATTTAAGACTACGTGAACACTAACGATGATTTCATGCTCCAGTGTAAGGTTTCTCTTGTTTATCCTACAAGCGCTTTGAGGTAAAACAAGGGGGAAAAAAATTACAAAGTGATCTAGCTACCAGAGCAATGAACCTAATAAACATTTTAGATCATAACTTTTCTCTGAAAACTGCTGTATCTTGGTAAAAAGCAAACTCCAACTCTGCATGTCAAGTGGCATAATACATTATTTGAGAGTGGACGAGGGTTAAGTAGAACATGTAATGTAAGCCCAAGGGCAAACATTAAATTACAAATAATGATCCAATAGTATATGAATGGAATCATAAAAAGTAACTAATAAGAATGATGACTGGTAATAAAAGTAAGCCTATGAGGTGGAACAAAAAAGAAAAGTCCTTGATGATGTACTTCAATGAAATCATAGAACAATTACATTAAATGTAAATATTCTAAAAATAGCATTCATTTGATTCAAAACTATCCTTTCATTCTTCATCATATCCATCAGGTCTTGTTTAATTACAGCACCTTCACAAATATGTGTTGACTTAATAGCACTTCCATGTTTTCTCCTTAATAACTAAAAAAAGTAAAGACTGAACTATATACAATCTATAAAAAGCCCACTTTAAATATTACAACATAGATGTATTGAAAAGTAAAAAGATGATGGGGCCCAAGAAGTCCTGGGTGGTGAACTCAGCCTCTGAGCTGCTCACCCAGCTGTCTCTGCGGGTCTGTGAAACACCCCAACATAGTGTGGTGCTTTTGGTGACCCCTCACGCAGCTGAATCCCAAACAGATCAAGGACTTTTTGTGCTTTTTGCTGTCGCTGCTGAAGTTGGGGAAAAATAACGGTGTGAAAAAATAACAGTTTCCTGTGCGTCTGCCTGTCACCAAGAGAGAAAGCTGATGGATAACCTAACTGGGCTCCGGTGGGACTGAGTCAAAATGGTATAAGCTGAACTTTCTTGAACTTACAAAACATGAAAATAAGAGCCCTGAGGACCCTCAGGTCTTGATTGACTTTCCACAAGTCCTACTAAAGCCAGAAGTAGAACAATGATGTGGATTCTATGATGTATATATGATATATACTAATGATGAGAGGGAGATAATGATGTAGGGGGAAATGCTTTCCCCCTACAACTGAAAAATAAGGCAGAGAGGTCCCTTCTTAGCATACCAACCAGTGAATTTGACAAGGCTGCAAATCCAGGGTCAGTGTGCAAAAATCAGTCATAACTTGTACAAACGAGCAATGAACTGGAAATTAAAGTATCAAAAAATAACCACATACAGTAACACCAAAAATCATGAAATATTTAGGCATAACAAAAATTATGCAAGGTCTCCACTGAAAACCACAACACCTAGATGAAATAAATCAAAAATGATATAAATAATTTCATATGAATCACATTTAGGAAGTATAACCTAAATAGTAAAGAAGATTTTTAAATATATAAATTCTGTTTATTTGTTAAATTTGGCAATCCAGGTTCATGAATAAAAGAATTAACGGAGGTCACTCTTACCTGTATTTTTAGTAATGTTTTCTCTGGGAATATCAATCAGCCAGTAAACCCGATCACTAAACTTGAATAAAGAAGACATCACAAAACAGTGTTTTATAATACTAATAGAAACACTTATTTTGACATTCACCTTATCTTTTGAAAATTATATAAATTAAAATATCCAGTGCATATACCTGAGAGATCTCACTCTTAGGAAGTTAACTTATAACATTTCACATATATGTGAAATAAAGTATTCAAGGATATATTTTCATGATTATAAAAGTGTAAAATCAGAGAAGATTGAAATATTCATCTGCTATGTATACAATAATATAGCTACAGGCTGGAGCACCATTCAACTGAGTGTGGGTAATACAACGCTGAGGCATCACTAGCTTTATGTATCAGAGGACAGAGTTTGATATTGACAGAGAATTTGTGAATTTAAGAGAAAAATCCCAGGAGCAAGGGAACTGTAGGAATGGCAAGCTAAGGGAAAAAAGAAATTCCTTCCAAATTATTGGGCGATACAAGTGTAAGAAGAGACATGTTAAAAAGTAAATTTAAAAAAATCAAGGCAAAAAATAAAAGAACTGAGCAGAATTCCAGGTGCTAAACCAATAAGGCAGTTTGTGGTTTTCACCAATTCAAGTAATAACCTTTAGTCTACCAACAACAGAACAATAAATTCTCACAAGAACAAAGCAGAATCCAAAGTTTATACAACTTATTATGACCAATGTCCAGTTGTCAGCCAAAATGACAAGACATGAATAAAAAGAGGACCGTGTAACTAAC